AAAGTGGGTCAAACTCCAAGGTGGCTGGTCAAGGTCAAAGGGTCAAGGTTCTTGATATAAAATGAAAGGTCTTGTCACAAGAATTAAATATGTGAAGTATGAAATCCCTAGTTCTAACCCTTCAAAAATTATGGTAAAGGTTGTATTTTTAAAGTACGTCAAACTCCAAGGTCAAGGTCAAAGGGTTGATATTCTTGGTAACCAATAAAGGGAATTTTCACAAGAATTAAATATGTGAAGCATGGAAGCCCTTACCGTTTATATAATTAAAAGTAATAGCCAAGATTAAAGTTTTTTTTATAAGTACTGAAATCTCTAAGATCCAAAGGTCAAGGTTGTTGGTATCCAATAAAAGGTCCTTCCACATAGAATACATATGTCAGGTATAAATGTCCTGGTATCCACTGTTTAAAAGATATGGTCAAAGAAAAAGTTCAAATTTTTTGTGTAAAAGTGGGTTAAACTCCAAGGTCAGTGTCAAAAGGTCCATTTTTATTTTATTCATCTTTGTAAAAATTGACATTTGTACCCTATAAAAGGGAAAAAAATAATACGGTTTCAGAGAAATAAGAATTTTTTGAATTCAGTCTTAAGTTAGATACCAATGCTTATTCATGATATGAAATAAGAAGTGATTTGTGGTGTCTTGCAATGATAGCAAAAGCCTTTTACACTATATATTATAGAATAGAAATAATGTGGATAAATGTAAATAATTTTGTGGATTCAGGGATACTTTTATGAGTATTTTTGATTACTTAACTACTAATTTTATAAACCTGAGTATCGGACTACCTTAAACATAATTGCATATAAGAGAATTAAACGAAAATGAACAGGAAAACGAAGCATTTTTTCTCTATTTTTTCCGTTTAAATTAATAATATTAATGTATATGGGAACATAAAAAATTAAAAGCTATGGAAATATTTCACAATAAAAATCTTGTATTAATGACCATATTTAATTTATGCAAAATAAATAAATAATGAGAGAGAGAGATAGAGAGAAAGAAATCAGGCAAATTTAATGAATACTATCTTTTCATCTCCATCAACTGGTACATGTATTACAGATGTACATGTACCCCTGAAACTGAATTAATTAACAGTCTCGCTAACATAAAAGATCGTGCGAGGAAGAGGGGAAATTAACAAACAATTAGAACTGTTGCCATGGAAATAGCAAAAACAGACATTTCATTACGCTACATAAAATGAAAGAGTGCAGAATTTCTTGAAAAGAGAATATTGGAAAAGTCTCCGATAGCCATATAAGCAAACAATACAATATGTCCTCTAGTGTGAAACGGAGATACATAATACACTTCTAACCTTATATCGATGTAGGATTTATTTTTTCTCACACGAAAAAAAAATGTCTAGTCATTGTCACGGAATCGTGTAGGTTAAAGGAATTTGACAAAGATTTGTCAATTAAGAGGAAAAATGAAGCATACAAATTATTTTTTTTTTTAAACAAAGAATTAATAGTATACCAAACACGCTGATACCATTTAGCACGTACGGTAATTCATATTTATACCATGCCCAGCAGCAGCTTTGCCAACGAAGTGACAGAATTTTTTACCTTGTGTACGTACTTGCAATTGAAACAAAATGCGTCATTCTAAAAACATTGTACTTATCATTTCACCGCAGTGATGATTTGTTTTCTTTTTCAATTTATTTCCCAGATCTTTAGTTAACATCTATACAAAATACATAAAGCAACTGCTGTGGATAGGGCCCTGACTAAGCTCTTTCTAAACAATAATACTTAGTTGTTACGAGAAAGTAATTTGTTATGCACAGATAATAAGTAACTAATTCTTTATAATGAAATAAATAACTCGTCGTTAATTCGTTTCAACTAGATACTAACTTGTTATAAGGAAATAATGAACTCATTATATTATGACTAATTAAATAGTTTTTATCGTGTAAAAAGAGCCTACCCGGCTTTCATAGTAAAGAAATTATCAGAGTACAAAGTTGAAACACACCCTGTCCACTCGTTCTTCATCAAGTTTTTTTTAGATTTGAACCTATTTTCAAGAAACAACAGAAAGGGTAAATAAGGGTTATTATTATTCATATTAAGATGATTTTTTTTTCCAATTCCTATTGTTATTTAAATATCAATTTTGACAAAATTAAAGTGATAAAATAAATTAACTTTCGATTTAAAAGTTGTAGCTATACGTTACGATAAATAAACATCCCTGATTTATTATGATAAAGGAAAGGGTATATATGGTAACGACCGAATCTGGCCTCTTAACTGATTCAGAACACACTGCAGTTAAATGGTGATAGTTTGTAGTAACTTTTAAGAACTTAAAATAATGCTTGTTTCATACCAGCATTACTTTTGATTCAGGGCTTCCACAGAGGGCACAAGAGGGCAAATGGGACAATTTCCAAAATTTCATCAGTTCTAGTGGAATTCCTTCAAATTTAAGATACTTTTCACTTTGGAAAACATAGAGAACAAGCTTGCCTATCTTAGATTTTCATAAATAAGATGCATCTGATACTAGTTTATGAAAAACGTATAAATTTGGTAGATAAGCGAGCTTGTGTTCTGTGTTTTCTTAAACAAAATGTACAATGATAAAATCGATGTAATTTTGCATAAAAATGAGAAAATTCGGAAATTGAGATATTTTCTGATCTTTCTGTGACCCCTGTGTATCCCATAACTTAGAAATAATACTTATTTTGTTTGCAAGTGACAAGTTGTTTTTAATTCTTAAACTGTTGCATCATTCTAATGGACACCTCATACCAGGGGCCATAAAGGGATCATAGCCTATCTTGTCCTGTCTGAATTAAGTTATATATTTATACATTAGGGAAATGGGCCTCGTACTTTAGAATATTTTCATTTCCAATTGTTTTCTCTATGATAAACACTATAAAAGTTAATTTTGTTAATTTCATGGTAATACCTGTTGTATGTATATTTCTCTATTGAAATACTTCTGAAAGGTCAAATGTCAATCTGCATGTATACATTGTATGCCTGGCGTAAAAATACACTGAAGAAAAACTAGATGTTTTGTTTAATTGTTTACTAAGTAATTAGCTTTTCATAAACAAAATAAATAATGCATTATCGTCGGATCAAAACCAAGTCACTAGCGCAACACTGTCCACTAACACCGAGGCCTCGCGAGACCAAGATCTCCACTTCCGTAAACATGATAAACAGCCCATCTAAACCACGTGTAGAAATCTGCATTGCCACATAGACCTGCACTACATCATCTGATACAGGCATCGTCCCTCAGTCATTACCATTCGACTTCATAAGCAACTCAACTTCATCTGTTATTTTAACATCCTCAAAAATCTGTTTCCTGACCATGCTGACTAACTCCCGTTTTCCCAACTGCAACACTGCATTCAATATGGCGGCGGAGAAGTAACCTAGGGCATATACAGGTGTTCGTGCTTCAGACAACCTAAATCTAGGTCACATATATAATTAAAGTTAACAAGATTGCTTTGATCAGAATTCTGAATTCTAAGTTAGATTGCCATTTTTCCTAAGGAATAAAAATAAAGTTAAAATATGTGAAAGTGCAAGGATGTGTCAATCAAACCCGCCAAAAATTTGAAGTTTAAATAACTTTTAAATGAAATAAGATTTTTAATGAATTTTTGTGTGAAATGCTATCAAAATATATAAGTCGTAATATTATAGAGAAAATATTAACTTCAAACCTGTGTCCAAGTACCTTTAATTACAAAATTATTAACAAAATCCGGTTAGAGAGACATAATAACATTGAGTATCGACTAAAAGGTAAATGGTGCGATGATGCGAAAGAGCAATGAGGAGAAATCAGGCACGTAGCAACAGGATGGGCCCCTCCCACTTTTTTCCAATTATATTTTTTTTTTTACAATTGAAAATTTTCATTGAAAGATCGCCCCTTTTTTGTAAGAGTGAGGGTCAAGTAAGGGTTACATTTTCTCTCTGGTTGTCCCCCCCCCCGTACGTTTTGATGCTATGTCACTGGAAATGAAGATGAAGCGATACCTATGCGACGATACGAAAGCGCGATAACAAAGATGCAATAGCACAATGAAGCAATAGCGATCATCGATTCATCGCGGTGTCGTCATTGTACGATTGCGTCATCGCTATCGCACCATGGCGTCATCTCGCTATCTCTTGCTCTTACCCTTGCATCATCGTGTCTGCATTGTTGCACCGTTTCATCATTATCATCGCGCTATCGCACGAGCGCTTCCTCATCATCACATTACCGTGTCATCGCATTATCGACCAAAACCTTGAATGAAACCGTGACTATTCAATAGCAACTAACATATCCCTATTTGGATTTTTTGCAGAAAAAACTATGGATAGGGCACAGCACTTTGTTGAATGCACAGTTTGTGACTCCAATGCTCAGTTTCACTGTAACACGTGTCAGTTTAACCTCTGCGAGGACTGTAAAAATCGCCACCAGAAAAGAAAGGAAACCAGAAGCCACGATGTTGTTCATTACAGCCAGAAAAACAAAACTACAATGCAGGAGCGGTGTAAACTTCATCCTGACAAAATATACAACGCTTGCTGTAAGCCTTGTGATATACCTGTATGTATGAAATGTGTGGTAAGTCTCCACAATAGACATGAGTTAATTGATATCGAAGATATGTGGAAAGCAAAAATGGATGAATTAATGGGTTTTGTTCATCTTTTGAGAGATGAAAGCCTTAAGAATAGTACACAACTTGCAACGCAAATTGAACAGAATAAAAGAGAGTGCATTTTTGAGATTTCAAAAATACGTTCGGATTTAAAATCAACAGCACAACATATCAAAAACCTCGTTGATGACATACTACAAGAAAAAAGTCAAATGCTGGCGATCATTGAAGAATCCATGATGACAGAGTTGCAAAGTCAAGAAAAGAAAATGCAGAAATTTATTTCGGATATACATGTAAATACTCTTCTTAAGGACAACGAAGCACTTAAATCAATCCCTCCATCGACAGAATTCATTATGACACACTATGAAAGAGTTGAAGCCATGAAAAGAATGATTCATATTCCAGAATTGTTACAGGTCACATCTCCAACACATCAGCGGTATAGTTTTAATCGAAAATACATTGAGAAGTTATTTGGAAATATACAAGTTGATCAACAACAAACAGCGCCTAAAAGACAAATAGGTAAGAACTTAACTTAATTTTCTTGATACAATCAGCGATGATCCATGAAAAAGAAAGATAAAAAGCAGTTTCAGACTCAGAAATCCATTCAAACAAAGCAAACCAGGACCAAAGCTACACGGACCTCTAAAAGTGTCTTTGATACATCTTTACAATATTTTAAAATTCAAGTCTACAAATTAAGGAACTTGTAGTTTTTACTGCACTACTTTCTTCTCCTACCGATTCTAAAAATAATTAGAAGGATGTTCCCAATTGATACCCATAGGGATTCCGACAGAATGTTGGGCGACCTGTTTCCAAAAAAATCAGCAAATACAATTTATCATTGAGTCAAATGAGTGACGCTTTTCATACTAATTGTTAATCCATTATTTATACACTGAACTGACGACGGATTTTTCCGTTATTTCCGGATCATGACAAGGAGTATGTGGCGGGTGTGACCGGTCAGCAGGAGATGCTTACTCCTCCATGGTATTTGGAAAACCTTCCACCACAAAATATAGTTTCTGGCTTAATCCTATTTGAATGGAATTTAATCGCGTTTTTTTTTCATCGGATATAGTTTAATTTGCATTGTAGAATCCAGATTTAATGTTAGAAATTAAATATGATGCAGAATCCTAGAAATAAAGGTCCAGACCAAAATTTAAAGAAGCTCTAAACACTAACAGAAACTATTTTTTGGACCCGGAGGAAAAATATATCACATAAAGATAATTATGCATACTGAGATTTTTTCATTCATTTAGAACATAGGGTACGTGCCTTAATTGCGCAGGAAAAATATTCAAAGACAATGGACTATTTGGGAGCAGAAATCACTGTTGTTTCCTTACATTGAGAAAATTAATGAATATAATTAATTAAATTTCTTACCCTTGGTCTTATTTAAAACTATTTTAATCTATTATAAATTATGTAATTAACGGTAAATAACAATTTCTTTAATCTTACATATAAGGGTAGATCACTCTAACTGCATAAAACTACCCAATAAATTGAGCTCTTTGGTGTGCAGTGTTAAGAGCGTCCTTCAGAAAATGTGGTTACCTGTTTTGTCAACTGGGAAGTACATATGATCATGTACTTCATCACTTCTGATGATTAAATGCAAGTGGGTAGATGGCTTTCATAGTCATGATATTGCCCCTCAATCGATCAATGCGAAATTTTTACATTCATTTGATAACATTCTGACAGGTGTTTAGTAGGTCTTCTTTCTAATGTTTAGTTATTGTCTGGCGTAATCTGTCATAGAATTATAACATATTTGAAATTATGGCCTCACCTTAAAGATCGATGTTCTCTAACTTTTTGCCTCTTTAAAGAACTAATGTATTAGGTCCTCGTTATAAACTATATTCGTGTCATGTCACCAGTGATGACGTGTCCAGCGGGGCTATTGCCATAGGGTGAGGAAGAACATTAACACTTTAATTTGGAGCATTATGTGTAAGATGCTTGATAAAATTTTAATGTTTTTACAAAAGGTATATGTAGCAGTGAATAAAAGGAGACAACCACATTACATGCATACCAGTTTCTTGTAAGACTACACGTAGTCTCACAATATACAACTTCATCAAGAATTATTTGTAGATATGTTCTTGGTATTTTTTGATAGACATAATACAAGATAAGTTAACTCGGGATTATATCTCACTATGTAATGCAGGGAGTAGATACATCGATAAACATTTCAGGTTCCTGACACAAAGGTACACATAACATTCATAGTAAAATGTTGTTAATTTGTAAATTGTGCAGATTTTAATATTTAACATTTTCATTTAAAGTTATTAAAAGAAATGCTTCAGTTGCAATTGTTTTAATAGTTGCCGAGTCTGAATTTTCCAAACAAAGGACAATGTCCCCAGACCTTCCAGATGGATGGGAGAAGAGACTTGATCACAAGTCAAATAGGTACTACTACGTCAACCACATAACGAGAATCACCCAGTGGGACTCACCTTATATCCAGACAAGTAAGTAATCATTTAACATCAGACAACCTCATATTTAAACAAATAAAACCTCCTCACAATCAGCCAAGTGCGTAACTACTCGAAGATTATAAGATAAATTTTAAAAAACCCTCTGAAATCCATTTGTTTTAATTAAAGTGAATTTATTGCACTGTAATGTAAAGAAAAGACAAAATTTTTAAAAAGAGAATTATGAATCTAGTATATAGAAAGACTGTCTGATCTAATTGATTAATATTTACTGTAACGTGCGGGACCCGAGCGATCTACCTTGGGCCCGTACTTGGTTATGCCCAAGTCTTATAAGGACAATATTAAAGTGCAAAATATACAGATAAAAGAAATTCAATATATACAAATATAGGTACACTTGCCTAGTGTCAATTAAGTTTAAGCAATATATACAAATATTAAGGACGCTTGTCTAGTGTATGATTAAACAATAAACAGATTCCTGCCACTTGGCTATATCAACACCACTTGGCTATGCTATACGAACGACTGATTACCCACTTGGCTTGGCTAATCTCCAAAGCCACTTGTCTATACCGGCCACCTGGCAGTAGGGCCACAAGGTGTTCCTATCCACTTGGCTAAGCAGGCGCCACTTGGTCACCTCTAAGTCCTTTTGGCTTTCACAAATGCCACTTGGCTGTACACGTCTACTGCCTACACAAGGTTTTCTCGACCTATGCTACAAGTATCTCCTCTTACTTGTAGACTACTTTGGCTATACTGTGAGCTTACAATTCTCAATCACTTTTCAGTCAGAGATTCGTCTTCGTCAACTTTATAACGAAGTGTATAGACACCTAACCCACTGGCCATTTGCCTACTTATATAATCTACACATCAATGATAATAAGTGCGGGAATATGTTTCCGTAAATTTCGGAGCATACTTTGCTCATCTTAACCAAAGTTATGTTTTTGTTGTATTTTTATCTATATAACATTCTTTGTTGTAAAATCATACAATCAAATACCTGTTAATTACATTATTTACAATTATTTATTGATTAAAGCAATGTAACAAAAGGGCGATAACTCTAAATCGTTTCATTTCTCCCCCCTTAGGTCATGCGTCCCGCATGATAATCTGTACATGTCAATATTGCACTACTTGGTACAAAAAAAAAAATGTCATGTAATCAAAATAAGCTGGCTGCTATTTACAACTGACTACCCCTGGCTAGGGCACCGATATTAATATACAAAGTCTTGGAGCCAACCGGGTGCTTTTCTGACTCTACCAGAACGAAGAGTTTCAAGGTTGTTGTCAACCTCGCTTGGTAGCTGTTCTATCTCATTGACAGGCTCCTCGCTTTCAACAGTACTAGAGTCTGCATTTGTAGGAGGACTTTGTTCCTCGTCTCGCAAAATTTGATCACGCTTCACCCTGAGCCTGTCTACGTGTATAACTTGGGTCTTTCCACGTGACCCACAGTTCACCTTGTATGTAACATCAGTCACCTTGTCTATAATTTCATAAGGCCCTCGCCAGTAGCTCGTGAACTTTGGAGACAGACCAACTTTCCGCAAAGGGAAATAGACATAGACATGATCTCCCTTGCTAAACTTTTGCCACGAGAGCTTCTGATCGTGGTATTTCTTTTGGCGGACCATAGCTGCCTTGATATTCTCTCTGACAAACTTATGGGCCTCTTCCATTCTTTCTTTGAGTTGCCAAGCCCATTTGTTTTTGGGAATGTACTTCACTGCATTTGGCATTTCATACATTATGTCAAGAGGCGTAGATACCTCTCTTCCGAGCATCATGTAATTTGGCGTGAAACCAGTGGTTTCATGTACTGATGCCCGGTATGCCATCATTACATACGGCAGGTAACTGTCCCAGTCAGAGTGGTGCTCATTGACATATGCGCTCAACATTGTGGCGAGTGTTTTATTGAAGCGCTCTACCATCCCGTCACTTTGCGGGTGATACGGGGTGGTACGAGTCTTCTTTATTTGGAGCACACGACACATCTCAGAGAAAAGTTCACTTTCATATTGGCGTCCTTGATCCGAGTGGATACTGGACGGTACGCCAAATCTTGACACCACTTCCTCTACTATTATCCTTGCAACTGTAGCTGCCTCCATGTTAGCCATTGGGAAACTCTCAGTCCACTTGGTGAAGTAATCAGAGACAACAAGTATATACTTGTTGCCATTTTCAGTGACTGGGAGTTCACCAAGGATGTCCGTTGCAATTCTATCCATTGGTAATCCGCTTTCTACAAGTGTCATTGGTGCCTTTCTTTTCATCTGAGGATTCTTCCGTCTGGAGCACTTTTCACACCCTGCTATATAGGCCCTTGTATCTGACTGTAAACCTGGCCAGTAATACTTCTGGCGAATTCGTGCAAGCGTCTTGGTTACACCCAAATGACCAGCGGTCTTCATGTCATGACAATATTGAAGAACCATTCTACGTTCTGTCGCTGGTACTACTGCCTGCAAGCTAGAGAAATTTCCCTCAGTGTACTTTCTGCACAAAACATTATTCTCCAGAATAAGGATACCCCATTGAGACCAAAGAGATCTTACAACATATCCTAAACCACTTATCTCTTTGTAATCAGGTCGTCTTTTCTCAAGCAACCAACTCTTTACAAGTTTCAAGTCACTGTCCTGATCTTGAACATCTTTTATCTTACAGTATGGCTCATCAGTAGCGCTTGCTTTTGCCGCATTGCAAACGGGTGCCTCTTTGTCTGGTTCATATCCGCATTGGCGACATGGAACTCTGCTTAGGGCATCTGCATTTCTATGTTGCAGCCCTGGACGATGCTGGATTTGGAACTTGAAGGCGCTGAGTGTTTCCAGCCACCTAGCCAGTTGGCCTTCAGGATTCTTAAACTGAAACAACCATCTCAGCGACCCATGGTCACTGCGGACAAGGAACTCCTTACCGTAAAGATAGTGCTTAAAATACTTTACAAAGTGCACTACAGACAGAAGTTCTTTCCTTGTCACGCAGTACTTTCGTTCACATTTGGTCAGGGTCCTGCTTGCATATGCTACTACTCGCTCACTGCCATCTACGTTTTGTGACAACACTGCCCCAATGGCCTGATCACTCGCATCTGTATCCAATACAAAGGGCAGATTGAAATCCGGATGTGTTAGAACAGGAGAATTGGTCAGGTGGTGCTTTAAGCTTTCAAAAGCCTCTTGGCACTGACTTGTCCAGATAAATGGTTTCCCTTTCTCTGTCAAGGTATGGAGACATTTGGCAATGGCAGAGAAGTTCTTTATGAAGCGGCGATAATATCCGCATAGTCCCAGAAATGACCGAAGCTCGGTGACGTTTGCAGGCACCGGCCATTCCTTCACTGCAGCAATTTTGGTTGGATCAGTGGCCACACCCTTCTCAGAGACAACATGGCCAAGGTAAGTTACCTCTTTTGCAAAAAGGCAACACTTTTTGGCTTTTAACTTTAAGTTTGCACCTTGCAATCTGTCGAAGACTTTGGTCAGGTTATCAAGCATCTGGTCAAAAGTCTTACCGGTGACAATGATGTCATCTAAGTAGACTAGACAGATGTCCCATTGTAGCCCTAGCAGAACACTCTCCATCAACCGTTCAAAAGTTGCTGGTGCGCAACTTAAGCCAAACGGCATGACATTAAACTCGAAGAGACCTCGCCTTGTGGCGAATGCAGTCTTTGGCTTGTCAGCTGGCGCCATCTCCACTTGCCAGTATCCGGAGCATAGGTCAAGTGTAGAAAACCAAGAGGATCCCGACAACTGGTCTAGAGACTCATCGATCCTCGGGAGTGGATAGGCATCTTGGAGTGTACAACTATTCAGCCGACGGTAGTCTACACAAAACCTATGCGTCCCGTCCTTCTTCTTGACTAATACTATTGGTGATGACCAGGGGCTACTTGATGGTTGAATAACACCTTTCTCCAACATGTCATCTATGTTCTTGTCAACCTCGTTCATCAAATGGGCTGGTACTCTCCTTGGCTGTTGTTTAATGGGTCTACTGTCACCCGTTTCAATGTGATGTCTTACTATCCCTGTTCGACCAAAGTCAAAGTTGTTCTCTGCAAACAGACTTGTGTACTTTATAAGAAACTCCTTTGCCTTCTGTCTTTGTTCTGGAGTCAACCCGCTTTCTGATTTTCGGAGCAAATCAGCAAGATCCTTGCGTAGCTCTTTAAATGGTAACTTGTCACCAGACAAAGGCTTCTTCTGTATTTCCCCAATCTCTGTCAGTTGTCCTACAACTGTCCCTGTATGCAATACCTTGGACTCCTCACTGACGTTCATCAACCTTACAGGAACTATTTCCCGTGGACGCACCATCGTCCTTGCTGTCAGTGTACTCTCATTCATAGTCTCCTTGCATACTGGCTCCACTATACTGTCGCATTTTGGCAGATTTAAGCCATCTGGTACACATACTTTTCCTTGGATGATAACCTCACTTCTTGGGGGAATACTCACTGTGTCAACAGTGGTAATACGGAAACAACCTAGTGACCCCTCTATTGTCATATTAATGTCCTTCCCATTGATGGTCAGCACTTCATTACTCATGTCTATAGTACAATTGTTTTCCTTAAGGAAGTCAAGACCTAAAATGCCATCTACTTTGATGTCTGTCACCACAGCTTCATTGTGGTATGTCTTTTTGTCAATAGTGAAATTAAACTCCGCCTTCCCTCTGACGGACAATGGAGTTCCGTTGGCTGACATAATGGTTTGGCTAACTTTGTGCAGATTAGGTCTGACTGTTTCAGGCAATCTCTCATACAGCCTTGTCGATACGAGAGTAACAGTAGCACCGGTGTCAACCAAAACTTTTGTTTTCTCACCCTGGATATTGACACTGACATACAACCCACATTCTTCAATTGAAGATCCCAGACCAACAGACACTTGGGGACCTTTATTTGGCCCTCTGTCATCTTGGCGAGTCTTTGACTTGTGGTCATCAGATTTACTGTACTTCTGCTTCGACCTATTTCTCAACGTAGGACAATTGCGCTTGATATGCCCTGGTTGGTCACATTCATAGCAAATGACTTCTGGTCTTGGCCTATCTCTATCTGCTTTCTTTCCACTGTTCTTATACCACCTGTTATTCTGTATTTGCCTTGTTGTCTTTAATTCTTTCAACTCATCTGCTAAGTTTTTCATACTATCTTCAACAGACTTCATCCAAACCTCCAGTCTGCCATTTACAAGCGTCTCCGGTTGCTCTTCTGCCACAGCTGATCTTAAATGCCCCTTTAGCTCTCGTTCCCTTCTTTCGACTCTATTATATGCCTCTAGTTCAACTGCCAGGCTTATTGCCTCATTAAGATTGGCTGGCCTTGACTGTTTGATTCGAATACGAATATCTGAATCTATCAGTGCATCTATGAAATGGTCTTTTGCAAGGGTCTCCCTGACTTCACCAGGCGCTGTAGGGTATGCTAAGTTTGTAAGACGACGAATTGCCTGACCAAGCTCAGATAACGTTTCAGTAGCCTTTTGTCGCCTTTCTTTGAGCTGCACTCTGTACAAATCGGTCTGGTTCGGGGGAGAGAATCTTTCTTGCAAAGATCTAACAAGTGCCCCATATTGCTGTCCCCTGTCACTTGGCATGTCGCCTAGCACAGCTTGTGCTTGCCCTCGCAGAGACAACGCAAGGAACAACCCCTTTTTCACTTCGTCCCAGCCATTGACATTTGCACATGCTTCAAAATGGCACTTGTAATCGAGCCAAGAGCTCGAGCCATCATAAGTCGCTGGTTTAATGGCTATTTTATTGTCTCGATCCACCATAGACGTCTCTGTCCGCAATGGCATAGAAGCGTTGTCTTTGGGATCATTTCGCTCAGGAGACTTCTGGCGATTACTCGCACCGAAGGACATATTGCCTCTCAGCCAGTCATCATTCTCTTGTCCTCTGCCACGTGGCTCCTCAGCAAAGTGGACCTTTGGTCTAACCCCGCCGCTGGCATACGGATATCGAGATCTGTCTCTGGATTCATGCCTGTCGTAATTTGCCTCTTCTTGTACATGGCGGTTTATAAAGGAATATGGTGACTTGTCTCTAGGCTCAGGCCTTTTGTAGTTTGCATCTTCTTTTACATTTCGTTCTGTAAATGAATATGGCGACATTTCCCCTTGGTACAGGTCATATGATCCAGGTGACAAATTGGTTCGGCCTTTTGGTTCATAATGCTTGTCACCCTTAGGAGTAGAACTGTCAAGACGATAACGCTTCAATTTCTCCTCTATCCTGTCCATCGTCGCAAGCATACTCTCATCTACAGCAATGTGGTCTTTCCCCGTTGCACTCATAATGTCCTATAAGATCCCGCCGCTGCCACCAAATTTTGTAACGTGCGGGACCCGAGCGATCTACCTTGGGCCCGTACTTGGTTATGCCCAAGTCTTATAAGGACAATATTAAAGTGCAAAATATACAGATAAAAGAAATTCAATATATACAAATATAGGTACACTTGCCTAGTGTCAATTAAGTTTAAGCAATATATACAAATATTAAGGACGCTTGTCTAGTGTATGATTAAACAATAAACAGATTCCTGCCACTTGGCTATATCAACACCACTTGGCTATGCTATACGAACGACTGATTACCCACTTGGCTTGGCTAATCTCCAAAGCCACTTGTCTATACCGGCCACCTGGCAGTAGGGCCACAAGGTGTTCCTATCCACTTGGCTAAGCAGGCGCCACTTGGTCACCTCTAAGTCCTTTTGGCTTTCACAAATGCCACTTGGCTGTACACGTCTACTGCCTACACAAGGTTTTCTCGACCTATGCTACAAGTATCTCCTCTTACTTGTAGACTACTTTGGCTATACTGTGAGCTTACAATTCTCAATCACTTTTCAGTCAGAGATTCGTCTTCGTCAACTTTATAACGAAGTGTATAGACACCTAACCCACTGGCCATTTGCCTACTTATATAATCTTAGCAGTAATACTTTTTAGTGGCTAATTATGCAGGAATACGTTTCCGAGCATACTTTGCTCATCTTAACCAAAGTTATGTTTTTGTTGTATTTTTATCTATATAACATTCTTTGTTGTAAAATCATACAATCAAATACCTGTTAATTACATTATTTACAATTATTTATTGATTAAAGCAATGTAACAAAAGGGCGATAACTCTAAATCGTTTCATTTACATTTTCAATGTCTTTGTAAAAGATAAAATTACAAATAGTAAAATACTTTATAAATCTATTGGTTCATCTATATGCGCGATTGAAAAAAAAAAACACGTGTAGAGCGGGACAAATGGAGACAGAAGCAGGGCTTGTAGCACGTGAATTTGCGGAATCAAGGGTATGTATAATTATTTACGGAAGAACTGTCTGATTTTTTTTTCATGACGATGTTCAATCGATTTGCTTGTGTGGTAATTTTATGCATAAACTCCTTCGGTGTTCATGCAAATTTTCAAGCAAGCCACTCAATTGATTACATCTTGAAACCAACAAGATGTGTTTGTGAAACACTATGCGCCCGGTGGCAACAAATTAAAAAAAAATAATTTTTTTGGATAAAGGTCACAGTGAAGGTCACAAGGTCTTTGATCTTGGTATCATTTGAAAGATCTTGATTAGTAAAGTATGCATACCAAATATGAGGTCTCTATCTTTCATGGTTCAAAAGTTATGGTGAAGGTTCAAAAAAGCTATTTTCAGCATGTAAGACACGAGTCTAGGTAACAAGGTCATTGACCTTGGAGTCATGTGAAAGGGCTTAATTAGTGGAGTATGCATGTAAAATATTAAGTCTCTATCTTTCTTCACTCAAAAGTTATGGCAAAGGTTAAAGTTTGCTGTCAAAAAAGCTTTGTTTAGCGTATAGGTCACAGTCAAGGTCACAAGGTCATTGACCATGGTGTTTTTTTTAAAAAGCTTAATAAGTGTTGTATGTATACTAAATATTAAGTCTCCATCTTTAATGGTTCAAAAGTTATGGCAACGGTTAAAGTTTGCAAAAAATCCCATTTTTAGCATATAGGTCACAGTCAAGGTCACAAGGTCATTGACCTTGGTGTCATTTGGAAGAGCTTTATTAGTGGAGTAGGCATACCAAATATGAAGTCTCTATCATTCATGGTTCAAAAGTTATAGCGAAGGTTAAAGTTTGCAGACAAACAGACAGACAGACAGACAGGACAAAAACAATATACGCCTCGGATCTTTAGATCCAGGCGCATAAAAAAACAGACAGTTGTTCTTTAATTTAACCAGGGCGACCGTCTGGACAGCTGTCTGTTACTCATTCTAAAGATGAATCGTCAGCCCCAAACAGTGGACTAGCCCGGCCCAACTCCTTTCCTAAGATGAAGTTTGATGAGAAAAAGGCTCCAAACACTCGCCACATCGTAGACAGGACAATTGAACCACTGGAAAGGTACCACGTATAATGACTTTTAAATGGGAAAAGTCATATATAACTGACCGTCAATTGATCAAAAGCTATAAATATTTTTATTAACTTGTACTTACTTTAGTATGTTTCATATTTTGGAATCTCATTGCATGTTGAAAACTTGTAAGGGAACAGTATACATGTATATATATAAACACTAAGTACTTTTTCCGATTGCTTAAAATATCACTGATATTTCTCTTAACATTTTAGAGATGATAACCCTAAACCCTACCCCAAAAAGATTCTCCACGGAGATTTGAACCCAGTTTATGGAAAAGTGGTATGTACATGAAGGAATAGCAAAAAAATCTCTCTGGTATTTTTTGTACTGTGTTGTGTGATCTTATAAAATACTGAACCGGATGATGATTCTAATTATATTGCAGATTTAGGGGTCGTAATATCTGTCATTGCGGAATAGATTTCCACATTTTTTACACAACAGGCACTCGTTTCATACAAGGCATCTTAATTTTTTACCACACGGTTATGAATTAATTTTCAGCCTGAGTGACCTCAAACAAATATTGTATCCAATTATTAATCATTAGTCTTCTTCAATAAGAGTGTTCAATTCGAGAGACATTTCTCTTTTTTATGTATATCATTCCAAACGTCTTATATTAAACCTCTTTATTGTAAACCACTTATTTATTCCTCGAATATTACTCCTGGACATTTCAAGACGTAAGATGGAAAATAGAACTTTCGGTTAAAGTCAAGTGTATATTTAAATCGACACCCTAATGGAAAAAGGGCAGAAATCGAAAAAAAGCATGACACGTGAAAATACATGTTATGTGCTGTTTTATTTTTGAAAGTATTAAATTTAAAAAAAATTACAGTTTTTAAAACACAAAATAACCATACATTAAAAAAAATTAGTTCAATGTTATTTATAAGGTTTATGCTAAAAAATAATAAAAGAGTAACTTTAATGTGGACAATAACAACGATGAGTCAAATTGACTTTTGTTATGCCCCGGAAATCGAAGATTCGGGAGTATATAGTTTTTGCCTTGTCTGTCTGTCTGTCTTCCTGTCTATTTGTCCGCAAAAACTTTAATCCTGCCCATAACTTTTGATTTGTAGGGATATGGCTTTCATAATTCACAAGTGTATTCCTTCTGACAAGACCTTTCTTTAGATACAGCTAAATTTGACCAGTCCTTGACTTTCGAATTTGACCCACCTTTACCAAAAATACCTTACTATAACCATGGACATTTCTTTTGAACAGTTGATGCAAGGACTTTCATACTTTATATATATATTAGCACATATATATATATATATATATATATATATATATATATATATATATATATATATATATATATATATATATATATATATATATATATATTTACCTTTTGGCCTTGACCCTAGAGTTTGAACCACTTTTTTGAAACTCAACCTTGGCCATAATTTTGAAATTTTAATTCTAGGACTTTCATATTTTACATGTGTACTCCTTGTGACAAGATCTATTTTGGATACTACGAATTTTTTACTTTTTGGCCTTTACCTTGGAATTTGACATGCATTTGAGAAACTTAAACATTTGACATAAGCTACCATACGGGGGAAGGGGGGGGGGTACCAGTATTTCATAAAAACATCTTTGTTTGTTTGTAGTTTTTTTTTGCATTTATATTTTGCATTTTTTCTTGCTTTATACTGCTAATGCATTGTCAAAACTTGTGGTTCACTGTGGTAAAAAAATATCTTGCAAGAAACAAATAATTTTGACCTTTTATGTAATTTAAAAGGTAAAACTAGAGGAAAATACCGTAGTGGAAGGCACTCGTTGAACATTTTCACTCTTTTAAAAGCTGGAAGTTGAGGGTAGGATGGTTGTCGTTTCCATCAAGGACAACGAACTGTATACAGGGTTATTTTCGCCCTTTCATGCACACTTGCAAACAATTTCTGTGCTTTGAAATAACTCCTTATTTTCGTTGAATTAAATGTTGAGCCAAATATTTATGTCGTTAAAGAGCTTTCATACACTGTCCTAGTGTAAAAGTAAGCCGACAACTGTAAAAGTCAGCGCTAGTTGCAAATTCCAGTAGGAAACTTGTCCTGTCATACAGGTAACTGCCTATATCTCATCAGCTGCAAAGTACCGGGTATGTCAATAGCAGTTTGTTGGGGAATATCACCTACTAGTATATAAATAAGTGATATCACTACATATTACATATTTCGAAGAATTGTATAAGTTTCTTTTAAAATAATTGTTTCTTTCTCTTTTCACAGACAAGTTCAGAAGATTCGCCAGAGGACAGTTAGTGATTCAGTCCACGACTGAATAAGTGGGGTTACTATATATTCTGGTCAAAATTCTTCATTATAATAATATTTATACTCGTATTAAGGTTCCACCATCATTGCATCTTTATTATGTGAAACTCGAAAATCCATTTATTTTCGCTTTTCCACATTTGATAAGATAAAATCGGTATAATATTCATTGCCCCCAAAAATATGAATAACATGAATTCTTTTACTTACCAGAGTTGTGAATTACAACTAGTTACAGCATTCTTCCAAAAAAAAAATGCCTCAGTTTTTATCAAATTAATTTCAGTCCAGATCAGTATTTTTGAAATCATGATAAGAAAAAAAAGTAATACTTCAATTCCTAATTAAAAACATGGAAAGTCATTTGCTAACTGTTTATACCGGCATGTATGAAGAAATTATGAAGTATCTGTGGTGCTTAAGCAAAATCTACTTTTCCGCAATCATCATTATTATTCAAAACAATTTTTTTTTCACTTTTTACCCCATGATTGTTTAATTTTGAATGAAGTATTAAACTCTATGCTATTTAACTTTGTTCATTTTACTTTTTCAATGACTCAGATTGTTATTTTCAATAATTTTTGATAAGCGTTTGTTTGTATCATCTGTTAAAAATATTTAGATCATTATCAAATGCATCAAAGCTGTTTCCTAATATTTGACATAATTTTCAATGTTAAATTTTCTGCTTTTAATTTTTTTTCTCTAACTATCCAGACTGCCTCAGTTTTTATCAAATTAATTTCAGTCCAGATGAGTATTTTTGAAATTATGATAAGAAAAAAAAGTAATACTTCAATTCCTAATTAAAAACATGGAAAGTCATTTGCTAACTGTTTATACCGGCATGTATGAAGAAATTATGAAGTATCTGTGGTGCTTAAGCAAAATCTACTTTTCCGCAATCATCATTATTATTCAAAACAATTTTTTTTTCACTTTTTACCCCATGATTGTTTAATTTTAAATGAAGTATTAAACTCTATGCTATTTAACTTTGTTCATTTTACTTTTTCAATGACTCAGATTGTTATTTTCAATAATTTTTGATAAGCGTTTGTTTGTATCATCTGTTAAAAATATTTAGTTCATTATCAAATGCATCAAAGTTGTTTACTAATATTTGACATAATTTTCAATGTTAAATTTTCTGCTTTTAATTTTTTTTTCTCTAACTATCCAGACTGCCTCAGTTTTTATCAAATTAATTTCAGTCCAGATCAGTATTTTTGAAATTATGATAAGAAAAAAAAGTAATACTTCAATTCCTAATTAAAAACATGGAAAGTCATTTGCTAACTGTTTATACCGGCATGTATATTTTAGATCGATGTTTTGGAATTCGTAAGCATTTATATACATATTAGAAGACAAAGATATTTTTGTGGAAGGAAGCAAAGAATATTAATTTTAGTTTTTAAATACATTTTCATGACTTAGTAGAAGGACACATTTAATACAGTGCATTTGTGGCTTTCAAATCTGTGTTATTCAAAACCAATGTCATACAAATATAGTAATCAAATAGGACCGTTTAAAATTTCTTAAAATCTGTATAATGAAATCTTTAAGATATGGATTATCTTTCTTTATTCAGTCCTTCAAAATAGTTTTAAGCATATACCTAAATTAGGTCTATGTTTTAAGGTTTCGTCAAAGGTCAACATGTCTAAACATTGTTTTAACAATAGCTCCAAAACTATGTGAGTTATATAGTCAAAACTTTTACAGTTTATGAATATATCATTGATTAACATATGGAAAGTATCACTTGAAAACAAATTTTTGAATAAAAATATTTTTTGAGAAAAATTGTGTCAAAAAAAAAAAATGTTCAAATCTAAAGAAAATTGCACCTGCACAATTCTATCCTTGTGGTGAAAACCATAATTGCAGAAATAATATATGTTTATCAATGAAAGGCAAGCTGGACGTGAATGGTCTCTGAAAGGCTGTTATTGAAAGCATGACATGTATAAAGACAAGACGCCTCTAATATCTGCCATTTGCATTGTACTTTCAGTTTCAAGTCTTGATATTTGGATAAAATAAAAAAAAATTACTAATGGCCATCGAAGTCCAACTTGCTCTTCATAGATAAACATAATTTTTTTTCTGCAATGATGGTTTTCAGTAAAGCATGATATTAATTAGGTGTATTTATTTGAAATATATGATTTTTTTAAAAAAAGAATTCTTCTCGAGAAATATTTTTTCTAAGTATTTTTTATCAGATGTGACTTTCTATCTGTTAATCAAAGACATATTTATAAACTGTAAAGTTTTAACTTTACAAACCACATATTTTTGTGGAGCTATTGTAAAAATAAGTTTTTGGACATGTTGACCTTTAAAGAAACCTAAACTACATCAAGTATTCAAGGACTAAACAACAAGTTTACATTTATGTTCCTTTGTTATTAATGCAAGGCCGAAGCCAAGTCAACTGAGGTAGTTTTTGATGGATTAAAAGAAAATAACAACAGTAATGAGACTGAAAAAAATGTCATCTATTGAAGTAAATGACGCAAATAAAAAAGATTAACATATTAAGGGGGTCAAACAAGACTAGAAAAAACTTCGAAAGAACACAAAAATCTTTGGTATCATATTATGCAATCAAAAGTAAATATAGCAGAAAGCAGACACTGATATGCCTGCCATCAAAAAAGGGTTGTATAAAAGCAAATACACGTCAAACAAAC